AGACCTTGATCTTAATGATGATTTTCTTACATCGCTCTCTTCTTGGGATACTCTTTTCTCATTGTAAGGTCTTTTGTAAAGTTGTATGTACTCACGAACATTACATGACACTAAATTCTTAAAGAATTCAACATTATCAAATGTGTAGTGAGTGTAGAATTCATAACTCAATATTCGTTGGAAAGTCCATTCTCACTGGAATAACTCTTTTTGAGAACAATGGACTACACTAGGCAATTGATGATGGAACAAATCAATGAGCTAAGAGAACTCATGAGAAAAGAGATGTGTGATATGAGAGAAGCATCCCATACCCATTCTTGGATTAGGATGTATATTGGACCATCTAGATCAGTGACAGGGATACAAGATATGTCATAGACCTATGTATTTTTGCCCGTGCATTAAAGGGGTCCATATTGAAGTATTTATGGTACTTTACACGTGTAAGCTTCTCATTCAGCTACTTTCTGACTTTGTCGGTTGATCTTAGTCAACTTTGAGTCGATAGGATCAACTCGGTTGACTAAGCTTGGTTGCTATGGGCCAACAAACTGATGAGGTGTCCCTCAGATGGTCAGAGACCTTGTAGAGCCGAGTATTCATTTGGAACGAATCCTTAGGAGGGTTGGCTATTATATTGGGTCATCTTTCCATGTCGCATTCTTCTTGTTTTAACTCTCTTTGTGATCATTTCACTTAATATGTTTCATATATATATAACGTGCATGGGTAAACTTTCCCCATAATTATATATCTCAATAAGAAAAAATGATTAAATGATGATTAATATATATATTTAAGATATGATGTATTTTTATTTTATTTTTAATTTATATATTCTATTTTTGGCCTTACGATTAAAATTAGACTGCATTTGACCAGATAAATTCTTTAAAAATTGGATATGTTCATCAGTTCAAACTCGGTTCTAACTAGCTCAATTTTGGTTCTATGTAAACTGATTCTACCCGTGGACCAGATAGGCTTAATAACCGCTCCACGATTGAACCGATTGTTTCGATGGATCCAAGCGAATTTTTAAAACCATAATTTTATTTATATTGGTCCTATCTAAAATAGAGGAAACATGATAATGATATCTCTGTGAAAATTAAAAGAATTTTTAATATGTTTTTATTTGAGTGTATTTTATGGATAACTAATTTATTCATATTCATGTTTATTTTAAAAAAAAAATTTAAGAAATATGAATTTTATGATAAATTGATCAAGATATGTGCACATAAGAAAAAAAAGGAAATATGTATAAATTTTAAAAAAATATATATTTTCAATTCAATTGTGAATACAAAGAGGAGGCATGCAAAATATATTTGTTTAATAAATTTTTTGCATGGTTTTATTTTTAATGATAAAAGTTAAATTAAATTATTTTTAAAAGTATTTAAAATATCTAAAAGTTGTTTTTAGTATTTTTAAAAACAAAAAAATATAATATAAAGTATCATTTTTTATTTTATGTAACAAAAACATAAAAATTTAAAATATACAAAATATGTTTTGAATGGTTTAGAAATAAGCTAAGTAAAAAAAAAAAAAAAAAAACATGTAAAAATATACTATAAAAAATATGCTAATAAATAAATAATTAATTAATTAATTAACTTAAAATAAAATAAAGGGTCCCAAATAAGCCTATAAGTTTTCAAGTAGAGGTGTGAACGAGCCGAGCTAGCTCGGCTTGTGTTCGGCTCATTTAAAAACACCATGTTTGTTTTTGGCTTATTTATGCATTCAACACAACAAAATTGATTCGTGTTCAGCTTGCTAATGAGCTTTTCGTGAACAACTAGTAGTTTTGATAGCTCTAGTCGTGCGGACATAACATGTTAAAAGGTATGAATGAGATTTAGGCTTCATTTGTTGCAGCTTTTTGTCTCATGTCCGGCTCAAAAATGAATTTTGGATTGTTTGGAAGGAACATTTCACAATCCTGTTTTTCACTTTTAATTAAAAACCAAAACGTCCCTAAGTTTTATTTTATTTTTACGAGTACGCCTTTGTCTGCAATACAGGAGAAGATATTTCGTTCAGACACCACATGTTTGGACGGGTAATCATCTGTGATCACATCGTCATACACGTCATTGATGAGCTATTTGTTATAATTTTTTGTTATGTAAAGCTCACAAAGCTATATGGCAGATTATAACTCACTAGAAGTTAAATTTTGACTTTGTTAAATATTTATTATAAATATTCAATATAATTGATAGAAAAGTTATTATGATTCTCTGCAATGCAATACGGAGATCTATAATAAATTATATTAAAATATGAAAAATTGAATAGGATAAAAAAATATTGATAAACATGATCTCTGACTTAACTATTGATGCGTGCTAAAAAAGTTATGGTAAGTGAGTAATGAATTATTGTCTTAGCGTTGAACGAGAATTCAACACATTTTTACGTAAAAAACCTGTAAAGGGAAAAAACTGCGGGGTTTGGCCATGTTGTAGAAATTCACTGTAAGTTGATTTACAGAGACTTTTTGTCCCACATGTGAGAGAGAGTTACAAAATCTTCCGAATTATAATGTATGTGTGTGGAAGAAATTGTTGCAATGAATGAACATTGATTGATGGTGATCAGCGAAGGTCAACAAGTGGGGGTCGATGGTGGTGGACGATGGTTGAGGGTGGTTGGCCGTGGTCGACGATGATAAACAGAGACAATAATAGTGTTGAAGTTCAGCTATTTCTCAAAGCTTCAAGTTTTTCCTCGAGTCTCAAGCATTCCTCCTCCCTCGTGAGAGGAGAGAGACTCCTATTTATAGAGTTGCAGTTGCAATTAATGATAAAATATAAACCACTTTGATTGGGTCCGGAGAGCATCCTGAGATCATACCCCATTTGATGAATATTTGAGTGTCTTAACAATGTCAGAATTAAGCGATATTAAGCTCGTTAAATTCACTGTTTCTAGAAGCTCGATTTGACTATAAACTCACTGAATTCTACATCCATTTAACATTTCAAATGTATTCAAAAAATTTTCAAATATGGTTTAATGTCTTGATTGGTGTTTGCTTCGACTCAGATTCCACCAATTTTGCTACCATTGGGCTCTTCTTGTCCAACTAATCAATTTAATTGCAATTTTACTGAAATCAGAGCTCTTGATGACTCTTAATTGAACTTTGAATGCTTATAGTTCAAAAGATTGTCTCAAGATCCGTGTCATGATTCGAGATTCGTACCTGATGTTGAAAATTTATATATATAAATTGTGAATTTATATGTATCTATGTTAATTACATGCATGGATACAACCTATTAATTATATATAATATTAGCGGGGAGCATTCCAATGTTTTTTCACAAACTACTTCTAAAACATAAGTTCATAAAAAATAAAATTTTCACAGCACTTTTTGAATTGACAATTCATCAAAGCAAACATATACTTAAACCTTATTATTTTTATTAAATTATTCGGCTAAGAAGAAATTAATATTTTTACTATATGTTTTTAATTAATAGTTATTCTTAATAATAAATCTTTACAGTCTTGTAGTTAATTAAATTATTTAAAAATAATACCAATCAAATATATATGATATATATATTGAATTTAATTATTTTGAGCCAAAATAAGCCGAACACGAACAACCAAAATTTTTTCTCGTGTTCGGCTTGTTTACATATCGAGCGAAAAAATATTATTTTTTGTTTGACTTACTTGCTTAACAAACAAATCAAACACAAGTTGTTCTCAAATAATGAGCTTTTTTGACGATCTTATTTTCTAAAATTTTATTCTATTATATATTCTTTAAGTTCAAGGCTTGATGTGCATAGTAATAATTATCATTTTTTAAATCCTCACTCAAATTAATTTTATTAATTTTATTTTTATAGGACTTGATTATAATCATTACTATCTTAATTTTATAAAGATTAAAATATACTTTAGTAAACTTTTGAAATAATTACATACAAGCCATTTAAAATATTAATATTTATCAATTAATCATCAGACGATTTTTTAAATTATAAACCTGATATATTTAGGTATGTTCGGATAAGAATTTGATAAAAATGAAAATAATAGACTGAGTTTTACCTAGGGGTGTAAACGAGCCGAACACGAGCAAGCCCAGGCTCAGCTCGTGTTCGCCTCGTTTATATTTCGAGCTCAAAGAGTGTGTTCGTGTTCGGCTCGTTTGCTTAGCAAGCCGAACACGAGCCGTTCACGAACAACGAGTCATTTTGACAACCCTAATCACGTAACCATAAGATGTTAATGATTGAGGCAAGTTTTAAAACATCATTTGAATCTAATTTAATAATTTTATTCTATTTTCTTCATTAATATTTTTAATTGATTATAATTCTTTGTGGTCTTGTAGGTATTTAAATTTTTTAAAAAAATTATTCCTTAAAGATTATATATATAATTGATTAGCAGTATTTCGAGTCAAAACGAGCCGAACTCGTTTTTGTTCGGCTCGTTAACTTAGCGAACGAGCCGAACACAACTTTTTTAATGAGCCGAACACGAGCTGTTCGTAAACAACGAGCCGTTTAGACAACCCTAATTTACGGTGAATTTTGATTTTTAAGTGAGAATTTATGAAATAAACGAATGAGGGTTGTTGATTTGTAAATGTCAAGTTTCATGGGGTCTGCATGTAATTTCCTCTGAAACATATTTTTTCGCAATTATTATTAATTTGTCGTGGAAACACAAATATTCCTTTCAGCACAAGTCAAGCTCACGCGCACCATAAATGAGCTTACTGCTTAGCTGCCTCGGCCCGACCTTCCTACCTCCTTCGGCCTTGACCTCGTTTCACTCACAGTCTAGGGTTTGCCCTTTCCTTCCTCTCAATTCTTCATCCAGTTTGACTCGATCCGAGCCGCCAAGTTGGTGAAAGAAGAGGGAGGGGAGGAAGGGAAGGAAGCAGTGGCTTAGTTTTAGGTTGCTCTCCATTCTTTACCTCCCCTCTCTCCTACTCTTCTTCTTTTTCTATGGGCATTCAATGCAGCAGGAGGCGTGCCAGTGGCGGTGGCACAAGTGGATCCGTCTCAGCCGGCGGCAATATGGAGTACATGGCAGAGCTGAGCTCGTACGAGGAAATGTGTCAGGTAGATCCGGATATCCAGACCTTCGATGCCGGTCTCCAGCAGCGCACTAGCCGCGTCATCTCTAATCTGGCCGTTAACGTCCAGCTCCGCTCTATTTCCTTCGATTCACTTAAAGAAGTTGCTGGATCCCTCTTTGATATGAACCAGGATGTCGTTCGCATAATTCTGGAAAGCAAAAAGGATATATGGAAGAATTTCGAGATGTTCCAGCTGGTTGATGAGTACTTCGAGAACAGTATACGTACGTTTGATTTCTTTACTGCTCTCGAGACGAGTCTAAAGAAAGCTCGCGACTCTCAGCTAATCGTTCAACTCGCTATCAAAAGCTTCGACGAAGAATACGCTGTTGCTGTCGCCACCGAGGAGGAGGATCAACCTCCGGAAGTGAAGAGGAAGACGAGATACGCCAAAACCCTAAATGAGTTGAGGCATTTCAAGGCTATTGGCGATCCGTTCACTGATGAGTTTTACAAGGCGTTTCAATCGGTACACCAGCAGCAATTGTCAATGCTTGAGAAGTTACATAATCGAAAAATGGAGCAAGACAAGAAGCTTAAATCAGTTAAAATATGGAGAAAGGTTACTTGCGTAATTTTTGCCTCGGCTTTTGCGGCACTTCTCATCTGCTCTGTGGTAGCTGCTCTTGTGGCAGCGAACCCCCTTGGGCGGCTGCCACTTCGATTCCCCTGGGATCTATGGGAAAGTGGTTTGATTCCTTGTGGAAGGACTATCAGGATGCCCTGAAAGCTGAGAAGGAACTAATTAATACAATGCATGCTGGGACTTTTGTTGTGCTTACTGATTTGGATAGTATTAGAATTTTAGTGAACCAATTGGAAGATAATATAAGATCATTGCTTGATGATGCCGAATTTGTGTTCAAAGATGAAGATGCCGTGAGGCTTGGTATTGAGGAGATGAGGAAGAAGATGGGATTGTTTATGAAAAACATTGAGGGTTTGGTGCAGCAGGCTGATCGGTGTAGCAGGGACATAAGGAGGGCAAGGACTGTGGTTTTGCAACGAAATTATTAAACTGCATAAAGCAAGGACTGTGGTTTTGCAACGAATTATTAAACTGCATAAATGATGATGTGGAAGCAAATTGGTAAGGATTTTTTATTTTACTTCTAACACTTATGTGAATGTTTCTCTTATATTCCAGACTAGAAATACTATCAGAACTTTCCCACCATTTGATTAAAGATTTTTGGATAGAGGTTGTTACTACTATATGTTTCATAGTGAGTAGATTTACGTAGACTGTTAATGAGTTGTGTCCTCTTGAGGAGTTATGAGCGGTTAATTCTACATATTAATCAATTCTTAGGGTTTTGGTTGTTCCACATATTTTTACTTTAGAGAGTTCAGATTATATCTTATAGCTCATCTTTATCATAAGCTTTATCCCAAATATTTTGGGATTGGCTAAGCTAAATTCAGGAGATAAAAAGTGCATATTTTATGCATATATAAATTGTTATATAAGCTTTGGTGTATTGATACCAAGTCATATGAATTGTTGGTTATCGAGGATGCCATGTTTAATGAACCATAGATGATTCTACTAATGTCATTGTAGATTGATGATTTGATAGTAGATTAAAACATACAAAAGGTGTCATGTTTGAGGGAGAGCGTAAATAATTTATTGATAGCTCACCACAATTGCCTGCTGTTTTTGGACCTCAAGAGGAGGTGGAACCACTACAACAAAACAATGTTATTAACTTTCACTATATCAAAAGACAGATTAAAGAACTCATTTTTTTTATGACGAGGATTTCTCTTGTTCTCATATGTTTGCTAATGGTTTTTAATATTACATTCTATTAGTGATCAAGAACCATCCACTTTTGAGGAAGTTGTTAGTGAAAGAGAATCAAAGTAATGAATCATAATTTTGATAGATGATTTGGGAGTCCTTACAGAAGAATGAGACTTGAGATCTAATTCCACTCCATAAAGTCAAAAAGATCATTCATTGGTTTTTAATTGATTCTCGAGTGCAAAGAAGGAATCCATGAAGTTTCCTCACCTGTTAAGCATAACTATATTCATACTTTATCGGTGGTGATTGCAATGCTAGATCTAAAGTTAGAAAACTTGGATGTAAAGATAATTTTCATGATCAGGGGCGGAACCAAACTCTCTTTTTGGGAGGGTTTAAAAAATAGAAAATTATCAACAAAATTAAGATTAAAATAATTATTACATATCAACCAATATCATCATACATTAATTGATATTTGAATAAAATTGGGTGGTGTATTTCAACAAAATTTTTATATCAACAAAGAAAGAGTTGTTCGTACAATGTTTGATGCAAAGTTATTTTCTAAACCGACAAATAATCACAACTTTTAAGGATTTATACTAATTAAGAAATAGTCATTTAAAAAATATTGGTTGGTCACAAGAGATCATATAATAATTAACAAATGATTTCAAAACTTATCCCATAAATGTGAACTGAGCATGCGCATCTGCTTATAACATTTCCACAAAACTTATCCCATAATGTCTTTCTTATGGAGTATGGACCCAAAATCTCATATAAAGGTACTAATATGCGAACAACCTATTGAAAGAACAACGAAACTAAGACACAAGAATTGACTAGTATGTATGTAAACTCCCCAAAGATATAAGCAAAGTTTAGGTGCTAGATATGTTAATACATAGGAATTGAGTGGTATTTATGTAAACTCCCCAAAATATATAGATTTGGGGTGGAGTAAATGAAATAACACTTAACCAATCAAGCAATCGCTGGCATTGTTTCGGTTGTGGTAAAAGGGCAAACACAGGGAAGGTGGCATATATTTGAGCATTGGGTAAGATTTAAGCATGATTTAACCTGCATTTTGTCAAACAACAAAATGAAAACTTTAAATTCATACATGAGATTGTGAGATGCTAAGCAATTGACGTGAAGTGAAGCCCTGATGATGGAAAGCAGGTAGAACTTGGGAGAAAGCAGGGCAATTAGACAAAGATGAAGGTTTGTGGCTTAGTGGATTACCTTATCATCAATGGTTTAGAGCAAGAGAGCAACGGAACCCTGGATGAGAAATTGGGGGATTTCCGACTTTTGGGGGTTGCCGATCTCGTTGCTCCCTCCCATGTAGCTTGTGGTCCTGTCGTCAACGTGATTTCGTTGTCGAGAGTCGAGAGAGGGCTGAATAGGGGACTTGGTGGGTGCCGAGGTGGGG